CCTTAAAGATGAGAGACAGCCCAAACATGATGAGACAATGGAAAAGATTAGACTTTTAAGTGATGGTAAGAGAGTAACAAAATCAAACTGTAGTTGCACACTGCTCACCAAGAGTTTTTGACAGGCTGATGCCAGTGAACTGCCAGGTTGTGATTGAGTCTGGCAACGGAACAGCTTTCATTAACGTGGTGGACTCACTGAAACACAGAAAAGTACAAACTTTGTCAGAGGTAGGTCTAGGTCAGAGGTGCCCTAAGTGGGGCCCGTGGGCCAAAGTTGGCCCACCAAGCCATTTATTTTGGCCCACCAGCAGTTGGCCTAATTACTAGGTCATAAACCTCCCGTGAGAATCATCCCTTTTAAATTCACACTTTTCGATCGTCCTTCAAAGGAAGCCAATGACTATATAAGGGGCTGTAGTACAGAGAGTTCTTACTCATGATGCTTACTTTATTTTTAGAAATATACTAAGATTAAATATTAAATATACACTACTCACAAAAAGTTAGGGATATTCAGCTTTTGGGTGAAATTTCAGGACGAGCTTAAAATGCATTTAAACCTTTACAGGTGAACTTAATGTGTCCTTCTCTAAGCTTTTGAATGCATATATCCAACTGTTAAATGTTTCATTTCTTTTTGCACAAGTTGCTGTTTTCTAATGAGGAGCTTAACGGCAAAATTCACAACAGGTGTTTGATTGATCAATAATGTCCTGRTTCAATTAGAGCTGGTGTTTAAACAGTCGTCCTCATCATGCTGTTCACATTTTGACATCACGAGACCAAGATGACACCTAACAATGGATCAACAGTACGTTACCTTGCATATGGACGCTTCAACAGGATGTTCTCAGATGGACGTGGCCTCTGAACTTAGAATGTCACAGAGTGTCATCAGCAGGTTGCAACAGAGAGACTGAAAGAGTCACAGAAAAGTGTAGAAGTGGACGTCCTTTGGCCACATCCCATGCTAAAGACCACTACATTGTGAACAATGTCCTGAGAAACCAGATGATGAATGCCACTCAACTCCAGGCATGGTTAAGGGAGGTGAGAGGCACCCAAGTGTCTCGTCAGACCATTCAAAACCGGTTACATCAGCATGATCTGCATGCTAGACGACCTGCAAGGGTACCTGACCACACCACCAGGCACAGGCGTCATCATCTTGCATGGGCCAGGGAGCATTTACGCTGGAACGACAGACCAGTGGGCCTCAGTGCTATTCTCTGATGAAAGTCGATTCACGTTGAGCAGAAATGATGACCACCAGCAATGTTGGAGACATCAAGGAGAGCACTATGCATCAGCCACTGTTGTCACCAGACGAACTTTTGGTGGTGGCGGTGTTACAGTGTGGGCAGGTGTCTCCAGTCGGTACAGAATTGCCCTACACTTTGTGAATGGTACAGTGACAAGCCCATATTACATACCACTACTGAATATTACATGAACAACACAGGCCTGATTTTTATCTTCATGGACAACAATACTCCAGCTCATCGAAGTCACATCATCAGGGAATGACTGTTGGAGACTGGTGTACCTCAAATGGAATGGCCTGCACTTTCTCTAGACCTGAATCCCATTGAAAACCTGTGGGTTCAGCTGAGTCGCCTTGTGGAGACTCGAAACTCTGCACCCCAGAACCTCAATTACCTGAGGGCTACCCTTCAAGAAGAGTGGGATGCCATGCCCCAACAGACAATAAGTCGACTTGTGAACAGCATCAGACGTCATTGTCAAGCTGTAATTGTTGCTCAAGGGCACATGAATTATTGAAACGTTGAAATTTTTTGTTGTGTTGTACCCACCATTGTTGTTAACTTTTGTTTCAGTTGTTTGAGACAAGGAAATTACCGGTGCATTCTTCTACTTAAATGTCCTACTTNGTGTTGTACCCACCATTGTTGTTAACTTTTGTTTCAGTTGTTTGAGACAAGGAAATTACCGGTGCATTCTTCTACTTAAATGTCCTACTTTCATGATGTGATATCACTATAGCGTGAACTTTTAACATTTTCCATAAAATTCACCTGAAAGCCAAATATCCTTAACTTTTTGTGAGTAGTGTATATGATATTTAGATAATATTTAAGCATATTTGTAGATTTTCGCATTTTATGAAACCAAAAACACTGTGGCAGAGTGGTTAGGGGAGTCGTCCTGGAACCGGAAGGTCGCTGGTTCGATCCCCCGTCCAGCTGTCTCAGTTGTTGTGTCCTTGGGCAAGACACTTCATCCCTAATGCCTCTGATGTGTGTCCCGTCAGTGTATGAATGTGATTGGCACTGATTAGTCTCCACAGATGATTGTACATGTTAGCTTTATAGAGACCTAATAGAGTGCTGTGTGAATGGGTAAATGAGGACACAGGTTGTAGTGTAAAGCACTTTGAGTTTCCAGGTTGGATAGAAAAGCACTTTATAAGTACAGTCCATTTACCATTTAATATTTTATCAAGTATGACATGTCCCATGAGCCTTTGCTACTTGAGCAGATGTCGAACTTTCTCCAGCACCACTAAAAAGAAAAAAGCGGACAACACACTGGCTGCTAGCTTAAACAAGCGCAAACATGGAACAACACCGTAAGTGGCACATAGACAAAAGACATTTCAAAAAGTCTTGGGAGGATGAAAWTTTTTTACTGACATTAACTCTAAAGCCGTCTACCTTATCTGCAATCAGTCTGTTGCTGTTATAAACAAATATAACATACGTTGTCACTATGAGATGAAGCATCCAGCRTTTTCACAGTACMAAGGTGATGCCCGAAGAAACAAGATCGCCAACTTGCTAGCTAAACGCTGTTCTCAACAAGGTGCTCTTACATGGCCCTCGACARCCCAGGACAGCACGACATGGGCCAGCTTTGAGATTTCTGCRTTTATTGCCCAGACTGGAAGATCATTTTCAATGGGAGATTATGTTAAGKAATGTCTGTMCACAGCTGCGGYGTTTATGTGCCYGTCTCAAGTGAGAACTTTTTCTCAAATCAGCCTCTCCTGAAATACTGTGACACGTCRCATTGAGGATGTGTCTCGTGACATTAAGGARCAGTTTAAAGACAAAGCCTGTGAATTTATTGCATTTTCTTTGGTGTGTGATGTGTGATGAGAGTATGGATGTTTCGGACTCGGTGCAACTTCTGCTCTTCATACGGGGAGTGAATGAAAATATGGAGATTACACAGGAGCTGGCTGGATTTGAAACACTGTGCAACACAACAAAAAGTGAAGATTTATTTGCAACAGTTGAGCACGTGCTGGATACGAATGTGCTGAGCTGGGAGAAAAAATGGTTGGAATAATGACAGATGAAGCACCTGCCATGGTTGTGAGGAAAGCAGGTCTCACCACACTAGTTTCTCAGAAGGCTGCCCACTGCGGAGGTAAGGTGGCAAAATACCACTGTATCCTTCATCAAGAACAACTCTGCACCAAATCACTTGGCTTGGGGGACGTGGTGCGCAGCGTTATTGCAATTATAAATTGCATACACTCAAAACCTCTCTCACACCGACAGTTCAGGGCTTTTCTGGAGGAGGTGGACTCAGAATACAAAGAGGTGCTGTACCACCAAGAGGTGTGGTGGCTGAGCTGAGGGAAAGTCCTCAAAAGATTTTTTGAGCTACGCCATGCCATCACGGAGTTTCTTAAAAGCAAGAACAGCGACACTCAAGTCCCCTCAGATGACAAGTGGTTTTGGACTTTTATGGTGGACATCACTGAGCAGCTCAACATCCTGAATATTCAGCTTCAGGGAAAAGAACAGGTCATCACAGAGCTGTTTGACCATGTAAAGGCCTTCAGGTCGAAGTTACAGCTACGCTGTCGACATCTGTCAGCTGGGGAGTAATTACTATATATGTGCACGTGTGTGTTTGTGTATGTGTACAGAAACACAATTTGAATTGTAATAATGTCTATTACTGCTGTTTATGCAATGAGTAAGTCCTACCTTTTTTTCTCTGTTGTGGAGGGACAGTGCTGTCCGTGGTGTTTAAACTTGATGGACAGGCAGGCGTAGGTGTTTGTTTTCAATCTTTATATTATTTTGGTGATGATTTAATTATTAAGTGATAGTAGAGAGGAAAGTTGGCAGCATGCACTTCACATAATAAAGGTGAAGTTRTGGCGTTTGATATTATGTGAAATAGGTTATTAGTAAGTGCACAAGTACACCTSTACTTTTACACTGTTGTGTAGTTTAAATRTGTAGTTGTTTAGGGTGTATAGCTAAAAAAGGCTCATTAYTTCAATGAAAAGATTTATGTTGCAACAATTGTTATGCTGTGTTGTTGTTTGAAGACTTAGCAGCCCTTAACTTCTTCTCAGGAAACCTTGCACACTTCCCGAGTCTGAAAGAGGTGAAACTGGTGAAAGAGAGACTGCCTGAACATGCAGCACTACTCAGGATCCTGGACTAGGAGTTTGAGTTACGCTTTGAGGACTTTTGGAAAAGTGGAGGTGACATGGAGCTGTTTTCCCAGCCCTTCAACATAAATGTGGACTCAGTGCCTGATCACGTTCAGATGGAGCTCATTGAGTTTCAGTGCGATTCTGAGCTAAAGAATAAATTCATGTCATTAAACCTCAAAGATTTCTACACACATCTCATCAGAAAGGTACCCAAATGTTAGGAAACATGCACAGATGATGTTATCTTTGTTTGGGAGCTCTTACATCTGTGAACAGACCTTTAGTGTATTGAACCTTAACAAGTCCAGACTCAGGAGAACTCTGACGGACCCACACCTACAGGACATACTCACCCTGTCAGTGACTCAGCTGCAGCCTGAAATTGAGAAGCTGATAAAAGCCAAAGACCAGCTTCATGTTTCTCACTAGTGGCATGTTAATGTTGTTGTTCATTTGTTTTGCTGTTTGACATGCACTTTGATATTTTGCACTGCATGTACTAAAGCACTGAAACTTAGATTATCAGTTGATTATTAACTGTGGGACATGTTTTCAGCTCATTGTAGATAAAGCACTGATTTATGTGTCAAACTTCGTTTTCATTTGTAAAAGTAAATGTAGATCTAAACCGTGTTTTTGTGACAGGTTTCTGGTGTAAAGGAGTCTAAAAGGTCCACCCGTCAATCATCTGCCGTTGTTGGGCACCACTGGTCTAGATGGTGATTGTTTAAAAAAATCAATTGACCAAAATGTGTACATGTTTGGCTGTGTTTGTGAGTTTTTTGTAAAATTCATACAACCTTCAAATGACTCACCAGTTGGGTTGTTGACAAGCTGGAAGAATGATGTCTGACCACAGCCAACTTTCAGGAAAGTTGGTACGAGAAACTATTTCATTGCTGTCCATGTAACTGTCATCATCCTCACCTAAAATGTTAAAACATCAGAGGTCATTACTTCCTTTGAGAAAATGAAATGTAAATACTTTCTTCTTGTTCCTGTTTCTTACTTCGAGCTAATTTGAGATGGTCTTCTTTCATCTCATCTGTCTGGCTTTCCATTTCATTGCAGCACTTCAGGAAGGCATCAACACAGGCCTGACCATCCAAAATGTATTCTGCTCTCCTCTCACATGTGTATGAAAGTGGGATTTCCTTCATGCCATCCAAACAACACTTAGTCTGCTGTTCATTGCCTTGATATTGACTCACTGTGAAGAAAATGGAGTTGTGGATGAAATAATGAAGTGAAGTTTAATAAATAAAAAAATAATCAAGTAAATATTTTTTAAAAAAAGTTTTTCTCCAAACTAAATCATTAGTATAACATTAAAAAGTTTTTGGACCTTCTGATAATGT